AACTGGGTAGATGGTGCTGCCATGGACTGGAGGTTAGGGAGAGTGGGGATTTAACAGGTTTGGATGGGTACAATAAAGAGTTTGGACATGTTATGTCTGAGATGCTTATTAGCCATTCAAGTGGGGATGGCAAGCAGGCAGTTGGATGGATATATGAGTGTGGAACTTTAGGTTCGGGCCAAAGTTCTAAACTTGAGACTCGTCGGCTTATAGATAATATTTAAATATACTGGGGCTGGATGAATTCATCGAGAGAGCGAGAGAGAGAGAGAGAGAGAGAGAGAGAGAGAGAGAGAGGGAGAGAAAGAGAGAATATCCAGGACCAAGCCCTGGGGTCCTCTTACTTTCAAAGTTTGGGCACAGGAGGAAGCAGCTGCAAAGCAGATTGAGGAGGTAGGGACAGATTGAAGATGGTAGAAAGAGTTGTCTGCTGCACTTGACGGGAGTTCCATTGACACAGACTTACAGTGATGGCCCTGGGGAGAGTAGACTGTCCTCTGGAGAATAAACTAGATTGCTAAGTGTTAAACACTTTCTCTGCAGCCCTCTAATCAGTATTTACTTTTGTTGCTTTTATTCATTTAGCTAATTTAGTTGATATAAAATGATACATGATAGGTCTTTTAATTTGCACTTGTAAAACAAACCAAGTATTACTTGCTATTTCCTCTTGTTATATGAGCATTCTGTTAATATCTTTGAGACTGGTTATTGTTAATGGTTATGGCTCACTTTCATTTTTGTATTGGTGAAGTTTTTTCTTTCTCTCACTTGCGATTGTTTTTGACAGGAAGTAACAGAAAACTTGACCACAATAAGAAGGGGTTACTTTTGCTTACAAAACAAGATGTTAAAAGGTAGACAATCTAGCAATTCTATAATTCCTCTAGGATCAAGACTTCTGCCTTTCTAGTGCACCATCCTCAGCAGGTAGTTTGTGTCCTCAGGCTTGTCTGAAGGCTGCCAAACCTCTGGGCATCACATCTATATTCCATCAGGAAGAGGAACACAGAGCAAAACTCTTGTACTAGCTGAGTCTATTCGTCTTCATCAGAAAAACAGTAGCTTTCCTTGAAGCCATGCCAGTAGAAGTCTGCTTACATCACAATGACCAGAAGTCGGCCAAATAGCCATGCCAAGTTGCAAAGGTGGCTGGGAAGGTGACTATTTTTTTTTTCACTCATGTATCATTCATTTAATCATAATTAAACATGTAGCAGGACCACACTCGAGGCATCCTGTGTAAATCACATTCTAGCCTCTCTTTAAAAATTGTCTTTAATTTTTTAAAAAGCTATCTAATAAATGTAATCAATTTAATTAACTCTTATTCAGTAAAATTTACCCTTTTTATTGTACAGTTTTATGAGTTTAAAAAAACATGGAGAAAGATGACGATTTTTAACTATGAATACTGTTGCTCCCTCAAATTGCTTGATGTTCCCACGGCAGAAAAGGACAATGGATTAACACAACAGAATAGGACTTCCCAGGCAGTCCGGTGGTTAAGACTTCGTGCTTCCATTGCAGGGGGGAAGGGGTCCATCCCTGGTCGGGGAACTAAGATCTCCCATGCCACATGGCTCGGCCAAAAACAAAAACAAAAACCCAACCAAACAAAAAACCACAACAGAGTAGTTTAAGAAAGGTGTGAATACTTAATTGATGCTTCCCGAGATCAGATGAAATGGAAGAAAGAGTAAGAAGGGTCCTCTTGAGTCAAGGGGGAGGTTTGCATCTCAAGAGTACCTGACCATAATCCCTAGGTTTCTGCCAAGCTCAAAAACCATCCCTTCTGGGCACTTCCTCCCAGGCAAGGATGAGGCTTGCATCCCAGCAATGATGGTGGTGATGATTTGATAAAAGACTTAGTTTTGTTGTCTCTACTGGGGTGAGACCTGAAATGTATGAATAGGTGAGCTAGAAAACAGCTGTTACCTGTACATTTTCATTAATCATCCCCATTTCCAGCATGTCTGAGTGATAAGAGATGACAGTGAATGGCAATGAATAGGTAATTCAAGTAACTGAACATCAGTGTCAAATTTACCGTACTCATGATAGTCTGGCACGTCCCCACAATGTGAACACAGGGTAATACCATTACTAGCATTTATTGAGCCCCTATCCTGCATGCTTACCCTACAGTATCTCATTTAATCTTTACAACCACCTTGTGACCTGGTGTGTTGAATCTTCTCTGGATTAGATATAAGTGATTTGGGCTTGACCCTTCCCCGTCAACTTTACGTGGGATGTGTCGAGCTATAACTCACATTTATAAACTTGCTTGGTTTTCATCTGTACTCATTAAGAAAAAAAGAACAAGGGTAAAGTAAGTCAAAAGCATGGTCAATATCTTGCATGTTTAAAATAAGTATAGATTTAGTTGATTTTAGGAGTGGTTTAAAAAAAAATTACACGCATCTAATTTAAAATTGATATACTCTAGTAAAATATCTCCTGTGTCTCTTCCACCCTTTAATCTTCTGTATATAATTTGCGTATTGAGTTCATTCATGTTTACATTAATTTTCTTCCAGTTAACATTATTTCATACATACTTCTCCATAACTCTGCCACTATAACTTGGATATTTCTCATCCTTTCTGGGCTTCAGTTTCTTCTGTAAAATGAGGCAGTTAGGCTATCATATAATAGCCAAAGTTTTTCCAGCTCTAATAGAATACCTATTATCCACAGGGGAATAATGGAAATATAGCACAAATGACACAGACTCTTCTTTGGAGAACAAATTTACTTCAAAACATGGATGCTACTTAATGGGCCATAACTCTCCTGTTGTTCATGAGTCAGCATGAAAAATACCTCCAGAGAAGGCTAAGTAGGTCAGATTTATCTAAGAAGACAGCTGTGTAATCCTGTATCCCTCTCCAACCTCATGGCACTGCAGATACATGTTTCTGGCTTTTTGAACAACAGTCAAATAGCATTACCAACTTTGTAAAGTTCACAAGACTGCAACTTGAAAAATTAAGCTGGCCTTTAAGAAGCTTCAGTAGAAGATAAAATAGAGCTGTGTTTATATATGGTCCATAGCAATTTTCTTCTATCTTTTAAGCCATTTCCATTGATTTCTGAGATACTGGTTGGTGTGAGAAAGACTTTTACTAAAAAGTAAAATAATTTAAAAATTAGTAAAGTTTTGGGTTGTGTCTGTTTATTAAACCTGTTGAATAAAACCTGTTAGGCTGTTGATGTTTGCTGTTGATGTTTGCTTGCTTTCCTTTCTAAGTAGTATGGTCATAAGTGGACTTAAAAATACGTATTGTAAATAAATAGGCCAATGAGAGAACTTTCATGTAGAAACAAACTTTGAAAGTGCAGTTACTGCCGAAGTGGGCTGGGCAAGTATTCTTGTCATAGAAGGCCCCCTTAACACAGTAGAAGAAAGACCTTCAGAGCCCAAGGGGCAAATGCAAACCTAGAGAAGTGAAACTAAGAGAAAAAAGAAGGGACGCGTTGGGATGGGACTGGAGATCCTTGCTAAGGAAAGGTAGATGCTGGCAGGCAACACAGAAAAAAAGGCAAGGGACAGAGAGAATACTGGAGAGTGGATAATGCAAAGTGCCCTTCTTTTTTTTCACATCGAGGTTTTATATTTGTGCTAATCTTCTTAAATGTTTAGTTCTGGCCAAGCAATTAGGCTATTTAACCTTGTTTAGAGTTATGCCCAGACAGTGTGAGATTGGGTTCACAGTACTGTATTATGTCCTTGGGAAAGAGAGGATCCATAATTGATTTAGTCCTTCTCCGCATCTGCCCTGCTATTCGACCACTGCTTTGCCATTGTCTAGACTCTAAGGCACCAGAAGCAATTAAATAGAGGATCAATGTAAGCAGACAGGTGTGCCACGGTCACTTCCCCTCTTCATTCTACGTGGCTCATATTCTCTGAATTTCATACAAGCTACTCTGGAAGCAGCAAATTAAAAATATCTTAAGATTGCCAGTACTTCCAGGTCGCGCAAATAGATCCCTGAAAAAACCTTGCTCCTGATACCACTGGCAAAGGCATGATATTAACTTAAAAGAGATCTCAGATCTTAGACGTACTTTTTAGTTATAGGCATCAAAAAATGTATTTCCAAGTATCACTTATATTACCCCGTGAATGTCAGAGACAGCAACTCACCACGTCCTTGACCCCAACCAGGTTTCAGAAGAGGCTGACTAAATTTTGCAATAGGAATCCGAAAGGAGTGTGTGCAGGGTCTTTAAAGCTCTAAACCCCCTAGGAAGAGGCTTCCCCACCTGTCACAAACTGGACGGTCTCCACAGAGGGTGCCGGGCCCACCACCGCCACGCGGCGCTGAGGTCAGCCTCTCGCGTCTTGGGAGAGCTCTTTTTAATTCTAAATTACAGACTTTGCAGCCACCGGATATCCTCGCTGCAGAACTGGCAGTAGCCATGTGACAGCACTCGCCTTTCCTGACAACCACTGCATTATTTCCACTAATACCCTGTCTGGGGCCTCTTGCTGGGCGACTCCTCATTTCCACCTCCCACCGCCGCCCCTGCCCCTGTGGGTAATAACCCGATCGTGGCCAGCGTGCCCAAACAAAGCGGAAACCACCCCAAAGTTCTTGGCGATAGTGGCCCGGGAGCCCCTCCCGCCAGCTCTCGGCTCCCCTGTCACGCCCGCGGAACGTGCCCGGGCCCCGCAGCCTCGTAGGGGGGTAGCCGCAGGGCGCCGCGGGGCGGGCCCGCAGCCATGTGCTCCGAGCCGGGCGGGGCGGCGGCTGCGGCCTTCGCATTGTCCACGTTCCCCGCGCCCCGCCGCGCTCCGTCCCTCCCTATCTGTGGCGCACACGCGCGGAGCAAGCGGCGCGCCCGAGGCTGGCCTGCAGCAGCTGCGGCGGCGGCGGCGGCGGCGGCGGCGGCGGGGGCGGAGGCGACGCGGCGCGGGGAGGGGCGGGGCAGGCGGCGCGGGGGCGGGCCCGGGGCGAGGAGGCCGGGGCGCCAGCTAGCGAGAGGCAAGCGCGGCGAGCAGCGCAGAGGAGTGCGAGCAGCAGCATGGCGGGGCTCCGACGCCCGCAGCCGGGCTGCTACTGCCTCACCGCCGCGGCCGTGAACCTCTTGCTGGGCGTCTTCCAGGTTCTCCTGCCCTGCTGTCGCCCGGGAGGGGCTCAGGGACAAGGTCAGCCTGGCGCCGCTCCGCTGGCTTCCCTCTCCACCCCGCCCCCCCTTTCTTTTGGGGGAACTGCTGAAAGCTATAAGAGGGCGAGGGGAGGAACGGGAAAGGAGGAAGGAAAGCGGTTGCAATTCCGGGCTGGTACCCTTTGCTAACCGCGGCGTCCCCTCCGGCACCCTCCGCCCCCCGCCAACAGAAAGCTGGGAAGTCGCGGGGCTCGGGGACCGCGGCGCGGACCGCTAGCCGCGCGCGCCTCGGAGCCTTTGTGCGCGGGCCCCGGGCGCCCTGGGCGCAGCCCCCGCTTTGTGTGGCGCGAGCTGGGGCCCCGCCGCGGCCCGGCTTCCTGCAGCTTTGTTCCCTGGCCGCCCGGGCCGTGTCCCGCACACGCCCGTCCCAGCTGCTGCGGGATGCGGAGCGCAGGGTCCCGCGGGGTGGCCTCTCCTCTCCGTCCCCCCAGCGCTAGAGCCCCCGAGCCCGCACGTCCGAGGGGCCACCGGCTCGCACCCCGTCCATTGTGTTCCGATCTTCGGCTCGCTCCTCGGGTGGCCTCCGCTTCTAGAAGGGAAGGGAGGCTTGTTTTGGTGAGGCGGGTGCACGGGGGGACAATCGGGAAACAGGAAGCGTTTTTTTTCCGTGCATTAAAAACGCGGTGTGTTTTTTGGTGTTGGTGCAGCGATCGAGCCCTTGCCGAACGTGGTGGAGCTGTGGCAGGCGGAGGAAGGGGAACTCCTGCTGCCCACTCAGGTGAGGACGGGCAGGTGACAGGGCGGCTGCGCGGGTGCAAGGGAGGAGAGGCCCGGAGGCCGCCGGCCCCCACGGCGGCACCGGCGCTCGGGCCACTTTGCAAGGCAAATAAACGGTCGGGCCGAGCCTGAACACCTGGCCACGGTGGCCTGCCCGGCCTCCTCCCGTGCCATGTGACAGGGCGTGAGTCACGCCGGCCCCAAGTTCAGGAGGTGGGAGCCGAGGCCACCTCAGCAGGGCCGCTGCGGGCGGCGGCGGTGCAGAGGGGAAGGGCGGGCCCCTCGGCCGCCAGTGGTCCGGGGTGGGCGAGGGACCCGTGCCTGATCTCTGCGTGAGCCGTCCTGTGTGCCTGAGGACCACGGGAGGATGGAATATTGATTTCAGAAATGTTAGAGAGTGGTCCTTGCCGTTAGCGTTAAGTAGCTTTGGGATGAAGATGTGACTTTAAAGGATTGTAATCTTGGGTTTTGTCCAAGTGCCTTTAATTTGTGTTAGAATACACCCTCTTGTTAAGAACTTGAATTTCAGGTTTCGTATCCCCCCCCCCCCCCCGTGTGATGTAATGATTGCATGTGGAAAAATCATTACTAATGATTTGTTGGGAATCTGGCATCATCAGATTTACCGCTTCAATAGAGTACTGCAAAGCCTTTGTGTTTAAGATTTAACTTTTAGGAGAATTTCTCATTGACTGCAGATGTACACATTTAAATATAATGTTGTCTACTGTTTTTCATCAGCGACAGTAGTGACCCCAAATGCATGTTTTGGATGGGTGGGGGAGTGGTTTGAATGGTAAGGGACTACTCAGATTGTGTGCCAGTAATTTTTAAGATGTTCATTACTTCTCACGTTGGTGGCAGCCCTTAATTCTATGTTGTCTCTTGTGGCTGTTTAGAAAACAGGATGTGTAGCTATAACTTCACTGGCGAGGCTGTGCAGTTTTACATTTCAGTGTTCTTCCTCGTATGTGGAGCATTTAGAGGGCTGGTTTTGAGATATTTGGAATATTCATTTTAACCAGGACTAATGAATAACAGCTTCAAGGTGGAGAGGTGATTTTTTTTAGAGGAAAAATGCACTGGACCTTCCCTGAAGGCCAGCAGGCTGAAAGAGACCAGTCCTTGGAGAAAAAGCCCCGTCAGGATGGGGAGCAGATAGTCTGTCCTTCTCTTAAAAGTTTATTCCTAAATAGATTTTTTCCCCTGATTGTAAAGGGCAGATGTGTAGTGTTACAAAAATGCAGAAAGATGAAAAGAACGAAATAGAAATCACTCAACTCCTGCTGAGAGAACCATGCTGAACATTTGGCATATTGACTTTTCACAAATGCAGTATAGTCATATTTGTGTATATCAGAGTTTTCAGCAGAGATGTTAGTGACATTTTGGGCTGGAGAATTCTTTATTGTGGGGGGCTGTCCTGGGAGCATCTCTGCCTCTTACCCGCTAGATGCCAGTGGCAGTCACTCCTCCCTCCTCACAAGTTGTGACAGCTAAAAATGTCTCCAGACCTTGCCAGATGTCCCTGGGGAGCAGAACTGCCCCGGTTGAGAAGCACTGGTGTATATCTATACATTTTTGCATTTTTACTCAATCGTACCCTCTTACCTCTTCCTGGTTAGTGTAGGAAGCCAACCCAGACTGAAAGGAAAGGAAAGGAAATGATAGACTTTCATTTGTTACAGCATTAGTCGAAGGCTCAGTCTCTGTGCTCAGAGATGGAAATGTCAAAGCCCCTGATATGATGAATGATTTTACTTATAGGCTCAAAAATGATCTGATGTAAATCTTAATTTCTGGTTTTGTTTATATGTATAATACAGTTTGTTTTGGTAAAAAATGTTAGAATTTTAGAAGCTGTTCTCTGGAATACTCACTATAGAAGCATTTATAACTAAGCTCATTTAATCGAAGCTATAATGAAAGTGAAACTGATATTCAAAATCATTTTCTAAATACTCCATCTATATGTGTATTTTTTAGAGACTGTTTTACCCTACATGTACCTCGGTGGGGGTGAGGATAGATATGGGTCTGTCTGTCTATATTTATCTAAGCTGCATATCTATCTAAACTGCACGTGTGTGTGTGTGTGTGTGTGTGTGTATGTGTGTGTGTGTGTGTAAACTGCAGAGTTCTGAAGAGAGTTATTTTTAGGGAATTCTTTTCAAAGTATTTTGAATTTTTTCAGAAAAAGTTCCCTCATGTGTGTCAGGGAGTCTGTTGAAAAGAGAATATTTATAGGTGTTATGTAAATTTGCGGGTTTTCTGCCTACTTTGTAAGTTGGGTTCCTTTCAGGAAGACTTAAAAGATGGCTTCAGAAGCGAAGATTTGTCAATGATCAGTGAAACAGGAGCGTCCGAAGATGTGGCATTAAAAAATTGAATACTAACATTTATACAGTTATCTATTTTGGACATGTTTTCTATAGATTGGGCCTTTTTCTTTTCTTTTTTTTTTTTTTTTTTTTTGCGGCACGCGGGGCTCTCACTTTTGTGGCCTCTCTCGTTGCGGAGCACAGGCTCTGGACGCGCAGGCTCAGCGGCTATGGCTCACGGGCCCAGCCGCTCCGCGGCATGTGGGATCTTCCCGGACCGGGGCACGAACCGTGTCCCCTGCATCGGCAGGCGGACTTTCAACCACTGCGCCACCAGGGAAGCCCTCTTTTTCTTTTTTTAATGGGTCTCTTAAGTGACCAAGAACTTGAATAATGCATCATTAGTAAAACCAGATATAATAATTGAATTGTTATAAACTGCCAGCCTTATAAATCCCTCTGGCTGGGCTTCCAGGATTTGACTCAGGGCTCCATCGCTTTCCACCTCTCTGTCCTTGGTTTCTTCATCTGCAAAATGGGGTTAACAGTGGTGCCAATCTCAGAGGATTTTGTGAGGATTGAGTGCCTTGAAGTTAGTAAGCGCTTAATATAGGTTACCTGTTTTTTTGGCAGTATCTCATCTGACCCCTAGATTTGGTCCCTGGAGAGCGTGGAACAGCTTTTCTGCTTTGAAGGGGCTGAACTAGTGCAGATAACTCAGTACTGTCATGTGCCCAGCAGTTGCATAGATAAGTTACATTATTCATATCTTTTTGTTATACACTCTTTTATGTTGTAAAATGTTTTGGTCTAAGAACATTAAAACTTGATCCATGGTGATAATGAGAAGGAAGAAAAAAACATGTAATTTTATTCTTAGATTTACAGGATTTTTCTTCTCTGACTCTACTTCATTCATGCTTCACCGCACTGACTCCAGAGTGGTGATGTTATAGAAGCCAAACAAATGTTTTCGTCAAATGTTTTATTGTCAAGAAGTGATTGTCTGTGTGCAAGGTACTGCTTTGTGCACCTTCTTCCTCCGCCTTCAAGGTCAGAAACTTCCATGACCCCCTGTGGCCCTCGGGGCCTTTTGCAGTGTGACCTTGTCTGCAGCTCCGCTCAGTCCTCTGGGACACTCGCCTGCCCCTTGACCGTGCAGGCCCAACATGGATCTGTTGAATGAAAGCACAAATGCGATTGCCCTGCCGTTTGTCCGAGATCAGTCCTTCCTGACCCCTAGCTTGGCGGCGGCACTGTCTCCATTTCTCCTCCCCTTTGAGTTTCTCGAGTGTCTGGATTTTTTCCTTTGTCTTGTGTGTGCCTTGTTGCCCTAACTGGGCTCCCCTTAAGAGGGTTTGGGCATCTACGCTTGGGTGCCCCGTTGTGGCCACGATGTTGTGCGTGCATTAGGCCTTCAGGGGTTCTTCCTGGTGGAGGAGAGGCCGTGCTCAGTGTCTTGCACAGTTCCCCTATTCATGAAGTTAGCCACTCCTGAAGATGGCAGGTGGAATGCCTTAGGCGTCGAGTTCCTCTTACTGTTTAATAATCACATTTCTGAATCAGTTCTAGGAGCAAGAAGGGCAATCTACAGTTTGTTCGTTTAGTCCACGCAGACTTTACTGGGGTGAGAAGCCTCACTCCTAAGGGCCGTGGTTGGGTTTGGGACGTGGACATCGGTGCCGAGTAGGAGCCGTTTCCTGATGCAGAAGCATGTTGGTCTGGGATGGGGTGGTGAGGCTGTGCGATCCTGGCCTTGTTAGTCCATCGAGCAAACAGCTGGCCCGGGCCTGACCCAGATAGGCCCCTGCGGTACAGTGATGAATAAGAATGTTTCTGCCTTGAAAAATCCCGCGTCTTGTTTATTTTGCCCACTTAAGCCTGAGCGTGTAGATATCAGAAATTGGTAGAAAGTGAACCAGGAAGTGGCACCATGAGTATCGCAGGTACCCTGTGAGGTAATAGTCTCTCGCCCCAGGCTGGGAAGCATTGACTAGCATTTGGAAATCTTTTGTCATAGAAATTTCTTTTTGGTTGAATCAAATTCCACTATTAACATAGAAAAATAATAACCAACGTGGGTTGAATACTACTGGCATTGTTTAGCCCTTGACGAGTCTTAATTCATATTAAGATCCTGAAAGCTATGAAGTATTGTGAGCTGATTTCAGATGAGGAAATTGAGGCACACAGAGGGTACGTAACTTGCCCAAGGCGATAAGAACACGCACAGCAGTGGTGGGATTTGAATCCAGGAGGAGTTTAGCTCCAGAGCCCAAGCTTTAGGCCACTTTGCTACTGTATGAGTTTTAGCATAGTCTGACCAGGAAAGTAGTATGGTGGTGATAAGGTGTCTGTGTCTGAGAGAAGTAATTTCATGTTATGTTTTGAATTAGGAAGGTTTGCTTAATGAAATTTTTGTTTTTAATTAATTAATTAATTTATTTTTGGCTGCACTGGGTCTTTGTTGCTGCGCGCGGGCTTTCTCTAGTTGTGGCGAGAGGGGGCTACTGTTCACTGCAGTGCACGGGCTTCTCTGCGGTGGCTTCTCTTGTTGCAGAGCACAGACTCTAGGCGCGCGGGCTTCAGTAGTTGTGGAACATGAGTTTAGTTGCTCCGCGGCATGAGGGATCTTCCCGGACCAGGGCTCAAACCCGTGTCCCCTGCATCGGCAGGCGGCTTCTTAACCACTGCGCCGCCAGAGAAGTCCAAATGAAGTTTTAAAAATAGTTATATCTGGGCTTCCCTGGTGGTGCAGTGGTTGAGAGTCCGCCTGCTGATGTAGGGGACACGGGTTCGTGCCCCGTTCCGGGAAGATCCCACATGCCGCGGAGCGGCTGGGCCCGTGAGCCATGGCCCCTGAGCCTGCGCGTCCGGAGCCTGTGCTCCGCAGCGGGAGAGGCCACAGCAGTGAGAGGCCCGTGTAAAAAGTTATATCTACTGGTATTTAACATTTTTTTATTGGAAAAATTTTTATTGAGCTATTATTCACATAAAATATTATATTAATTTCAGGTGTACAGCATAATAATTCTATATTTGGAGCTTTGCAAAATAATCACCACAATAAGTCTAGTTAAGATCCATTACCATACAGAGCTACAAAAATTTTTTTTTCTAGTGATGAGAACTTTTAAGATTTACTCTCAAAAAATAAAAAAAGATCTACTCTCATAGCAAATTTCAAATAATGCAGTACAGTATTATTAACTGTAGTCACTATGCTGCATATTGCATCCCCCATGCCTTATTTATTTTATAAATGGAAGTTGGTACGTTCTGACACCCTTCATCCATTTTGCCCACTCCCCACCTCTGCCTCTGGGAACTACCAATCTGTTCTCTGTATCTGTGGACTTGGTGTTCTGTTCTGTTTTGTTTTGTTTAAGATTCCACAAGTAAGTGAGGTCATATGGTATTTGTCTTTCTCTGTGTGACTTATTTCACTTAGCATAATGCCCTCCGAGTCTATTCATGTTGTCACAGATGGCAAGATTTCATTCTTTTTTATAGCTGAGTAATATTCCAGTGTACATACATATCACATCTTCTTTATCCATTCATCTATCAGTGGACACTTAGGTTGCTTCTGTGTGTTGGCTATTATAAATAATGCTGCAGTGAACATAGGTGTATATATATCTTTTCAAGTTAGTGTTTCAGGTTTCTTTGGATAAATACCCAGAGGTGGAATTGCTGGGTCATATGGTAGTTCTATTTTTAATTTTTTGAGGAACCTCTGTACTGTTTGCTATAGGGGCTGCCCCAGATTACAATCCCACCAGCAGTGCAATGAGGGCTGCCTTTTCTCCACATCCTTACCGACCTTTGTTATCTTTTGTCTTTTTGATGATAGCCATGTCACAGGTGTGGGGCGATACCCACTAGTATTTACGAAACACCTAGACTGTGCTTAGCCCAGCAGACGTTTATGGAGCGTGTACTGTGGGCTGAGCACTGTTTTAAGTACTGGGGATGTCATGGGAACCAAAAAAGAAAATCTCTGCCCTTGTGGAGCTGGCAGTTTAGTGGAGGCATATAGATAATAAGTAAGAAATAGAGTAAGTGATAAGTTATGCAGTCTGTTAGAAGGGCATCAATGCTATATGGTGGCAGATTGGAGGAAGATTTGGGTGATGGGAGTTTTACTTCAAGAGGTCAAGGTAGGTCTCTTTGAGGGGGCCTGTATTTGGTATTTGAGACAGCCCCTGAAAGCTGTGAGAGAATTAGAATAGCTAGCAAGGTCCGGAGGGACTGCCAAGAGGGAGTGGGGAGAAATTA